AAGAAACATTTCATTGTTTCTGTTCAAACATACTTCTAGGCGGTATAGCCCTGGGGTGTCCACTTGCCATACAGAGGTAACTTGTGGTTGCTGTGAAGCTGAACACTGTTACACTGATGTGTCAAATGCGTTAATGGTTATCCATGGCGGACAGTGTTTGGTGGTTCTCCCTGATTAAAACAAGCTTGGAAACAGGAGTGGCATCCACTTCTGTAATAACTTGCCTCCGAAAACCCTATGAACCCGGAGAAAGGATAAAAGTTTCACAAGGGTTGAGGATTTTCGTTCATAGGGTCGCTATGAGTCACCTATGACTCGACGGCACTTAACAACAACAACTGCTGAAGCGAGCAACTGGTTGTACTTTTTCCAACACTCATCTGTTTGTTCTTTTGCCTGTTGTTGTTGTTGTTATGTGCCATCGAGTCGTTTGCGATTCATAGCGACCCTATGTACAACAGCTCTAAACCCTGCTCTATCCTGTGCCAATCGCATTGCCTCTGACACACCCATCCCGATTACCCCAGTCACTGAATCAATCCACCTCATAGAGGGTCTTCCCCTCCTGACACTAGTGATTAGAACATGGAATGTGAGAACCATGAATGTAGGAAAATTAGAAATTGTTAAAAAACAAATGGAACACATAAATATGGACATACTAGGCACTGGAGAGATGAGATGGACTGGCATGGGTCATTTTGAGTCAGATGATCATATGATATATTATTCTAGAGATGAAAAGGTGAGGGAAAATGGAGTTGCTTTGATAGTTAAAAAAGAAATTTCTAGATCCATCTTGAAGTACGACATTGTGAGTGATAGGATTATATCCATACGCTTACAGGGAAGTCCAGTGAACACCACTATCATTCAGATATATGCACCAACAACCAGAGCCAAAGAAGAAGAAATAGATGATTTCTACCAACTCTTACAGTCAGAGATAGATCAAACATGCAATCAAGATGCATTGATAATAATGGGTGACTGGAACACAAAAGTTGGGAACAGGGAAGAAGAATCAGTAGTTGGAAAACATGATCTAGGTGACAGAAATGAAGCTGGCGATAGAATGATTGAATTTTGCACAATGACTTATTCATTGCAAATACATTTTTTAAGAGACATAAATGCAGGTTATACACATGGATTTCACCTGATGGTATGCATAGGAATCAGATCGATTATATCTGTGGAAAGAACTGCTGGAGAAGCTCAATATCAGCTGTGAAAACTAGGCCAGGAGCTGATTGTGGAACAGACCACCAACGACTCATATGCAAATTCAAGCTGAAGCTGAGGAAAATTAAACCAAATCCAAGGCAACCAAAATATGACTTTGAGTCTATCCCACCTGAATTTCAGAATCATCTCAGTAACAGGTTTGAGGCCTTGAACACTAATGAGCGAAGACCAGATGAGTTGTGGGAGGATGTTAAATGTATCATCCAGGAAGAGTGCAAACGGTTCTTTTGGCAGTCCTTGGGATATTCAGCACTCATCTCCAACATCATAGCTCAGACATCAATTCTACTTCTGTTATCCTTATTGTCTAGCTTCAGATGCATAGCAAGTGATTGGAAAGATTGTTGCCTGACTTACGCACACTGTAGTCTTTAGAGTGACATCGTTGGGTTTTGGAGAGATCCCTGGTAGTAGACTTTTCCAATGCTGTACAGCTGCTGATCTTCCTGACTGCTAGTAGTCTGGGTAGGCCTTGGAGAAGCAAAGTACCTTTGCTTCAATTATACCAGCAGGGGGCATACTTGTGTTAATAACTAGGCCCAGGACACATATCCCTCCAATACACAGTCTCTAAAAATTCTGGCGGCTTAGTGGTAAGAAATTGTGCTGCCAATCCAACGTTACACAATTTGAATCCACTAGCTGCCCCACGGGAGAAAAATTAGCAATCTCTTGCTTCTGAAAACTCACAGGGTCGGTTATAGGTCAATTCTAACTCGGTGGTACCCAACAATCACAGTTCCAAAGGAAAACACAAAGCTTTAGGCTAAACCTTCAGTTTTCTCCCATAGCAGCAGTTTCAGAAAATCAGTCATAAATAAATAATCAAAAGTTTTGTATTTAAAAATCTTCAATGATGATAATGAAATAACCTTTTGCTATTTATCAGGTTTTTTTTTTGTTTGTTTTGGATTGAGGTTTTGGGGTAGGGTTTTTTTGTGGTTTTTTTTTTTAATTGCTTCCTTGGGTTGGTTGAGAATGAAGGAGAATGAAGAAATAAGGGAATGTGATGCACAATTGGCTACCCAGGACTTTGCAGTGTCAGCCTGAACCTGAAGTGGATGAGAGAGGAAAGCATGCAAAGGAGAAGAGTGGAGAGCCCACAGAGGAGTGGGGAGATCTGCAGTTACAGCACAGGACCAACAGCTGATTCTACAGCCTAAGCAGAAAGTAGAAGATGATCTACAATGTTCATGCAGCTAATGAAGAGGGGACTAAGCAAATGACAGCTTTCCTTCAAGGGGTCTATTAAGCATGTGGCTGTGTCCAAAGGTTACTTTTGTGCCTAAGGTGCGTCTGATACAGGCCATGGTCTTCGCAATCACAATCACTTGTTATGCATCAGAGAGTTGGACAACGACCAAGGAGGATAGAAGGAGAATTGATGCCTTTGAGCTGTGGTGCTGGAGAAGAGTATTGAGAATACCATGGACTGCTAGGAAAACAAACAGATTTGTCCTGGAAAGGGTTAAACCGGGTGACTCCTTGGAGGCAAGGATTCTGAGGCTCCGTCTAACATACTTTGGACATGTTGTGAGGAGAGACCGGTCCTTGGAGGAGGACATCATGCTTGGGAGGGTGGAGGGACAGCGCAGGAGGGGAAGGCCCTCTATGAGGTGGATTGATTCAGTGACTGGGATAATAGGGATGGCAGTGTCAGAGACAGTGTGATTGGCACAGGACAGAGCAGAGTTTAGGGCTGTTGTACATAGGGTCGCTATGAGTTGCAAGCGACTCGACGGCACATAACAACAACAACAAATGAGAGGAAAAAGGAGTGAGAAGGACAAAAGAATTGCTCAAGCCTTCCCACAGCATCCCTGAATGCCTAGAAGCATCAGGTTTGGTTAAATTGATCCTTTATCCTTCCAATATACTGCTCTCAGTAGAGGAAGAACAGCCATCTAGGAACTCCTACTAAAGAGTTATTCTGGTGAGCTCTGGTGGCCTAGTGGAAAGAAGCTGCACTGTGATCCCAGAGGTGTGAGGTTTGAATCCACCAGATATTTTGTTTTAGAAGGAGGGACAATCTCCTCCTGTACCAGTCAGATCTGATTTGACGATACACATACAAAGAATAATAAAATAAAATAAAAATTTAAAAAGAGTCATTCTGCTATTAACGAGAGTCTGTTCCCTGTCCCAACATGGCGCCTTTAGCCCTCCTACCCTTGATACACCCACAGGCTCCTCCTGTTCTGGCCTTCATTGACTCTGTGTGGCCCTCAGAGCACATATTCCAGGTGCTCTCTCCCTCACTCTCAATCCCTGCCCACACTGGTTGCCTGCTTCCTTTCTCTCTGTCTTCAATTTCTCCCTGAATTCTGTAGATCTGTCTCCAGGTGCCAAAGGAAGGGGAGTTCTAGGCAGACTGATCCCTGGCTCCACCAGTTCAGTGGGAGAATCCCAAAGGTCTTTTCTCCCCTCAGGAGTCTCTGGGGGCGAAGAGGCCAGGCTCTTGGTTCCAGGGTCTCAGTACCCCCTGTGCCATTTGAGCTGCTTGCACTCATCATCTCTATTAATAACCTTCCTCCCTCCCTCATTCCCAGTACTGCCCCCACTCCTGTCCAGCTCTGGTTCTTGATCACAGCAGCTCAGTCCTCCAAAGCTGCTGGACCCCAGGGAGAGCTGACTACCACCTGAGCAACGGGTAAGTTCAACCCTCTGGCCAGAGCACCCGGAGTCCACTCTGCTTGCTTCTTTGTCCACAATTATTTGTTTCATCCTTTCTGAGTGTCCCCCTTCCCAAACCACGCTCAGCTTCCAGCTGTCCAGTTCAGCAAACCTACAGAGTTGAAAAGAGAGGGGTTCACGAAGTTGGAGGTACCAAAGATACTGAGAAATGTACTGAAAAAACAAGGGTTCTTGCAAAGGCTATTGAGGGGGGAAACCCCAAACCCACAAAAAACCTGGGAGGGGGCTGAGCAACTCAGGATAGCAGAAGAGATTTTGCTGAGGGCTGGCTTCTGTTGAGGAGGGGCTGGACTATATGTCTGTTTGCATTTTGTTTCCCTCTGTTACCAGATCCCATTACCATGTTCCTGCCCTCTGCTATGATACTGCTGAATTGACGTGCATCAGGATTCAAATGGTCCCTGCCCCCATCCCCAACTCTGGTCCTGGGATCTCGGGGGGGGGGGGAGTGATTGCAGGGGAGTATAGCCTTGCCTTCCCAGGCTATATTCCGACTGACCCAGTGGAGAAGCAACAACCTCTTCTTCCCATGAAGAACATTTCTGGTTGAATCCCTTGCGATCACAGTAGCACATTTTTCTTTTCTTCCATGGGGCTTTGGGAAGACTGTGGAGCCCAGTGCCTGGAATTTCAGCCCTATTGTACGATATCCTTGCAAATAAAAACTTCAGTCATGCCAAATCCATGAAATCTGGGTGGGAGTTTTTTGGCTTGGATCGCCCCTTCTTCTTTCCACCCTTCACACTCTCGATCCCCACTCTGAGTGGTGTGCCTAATTTCTGCACCAGTTCTAAACATGGGGACAGAGGACATATCTAAACCTACTGCCATGTCTCCCAAAAAGAGACAAGACTCAAAGCAATGAGTTTTCACTTTTTGTGAAAATCCATATTTCTTGGAGAATCTAATGATGCTTTGCCCTCTGAAGCCTTTAACTATCAATAACAAGTACTCTCCTAGAATAGAAGAAGAGTCCATTTGTAAACACTCACCTTCCTGTCTTTATCCACCCCTTAACTTCTCCTTCCTGCCCTATCCAGGCTGAATCCTCCTCCACAATGCCACTGTCCGGAACCCCAGCTCCCAACAAGAAGAGGAAATCCAGCAAGTTAATTATGGAACTCACTGGAGGTAGAGAATTGATGGACCTACTTAGTATGGAACTCTCTATTAAGACCACCTCTGGCCCCAAGCTGTTTCTATATCTCTGTCTGTCTGTCTATCTATCTTAGCATGAAACGATAAGGGGAATGCCAGTGCAGGGGGTGGTAGAATCGTGGGAGTAAAAGAGGAGGTAAGTAAGAGGGGGGAACGGATCGGTTACTGACTACCCACCCTTCTACCCTTTTAACTTTGTAATCAGAGACAACATCCTGCCATATTAATCTAGCACAGGTCCAGGACCATGGGATTTGGGACCAGGGTGTGTGTTAGTTTCCCAACTTATTTTCTCAGAGTCTGGAATATAGAGTAACTGCATAGGCATTTCCCCTAGGTCAGGCAAGAATGCATGGAGTGGAAAGCACTCCCAATCCCCAGAAGCTGTTTGGAACTAGAATTTACTAAAAGGAAGAAAAGGAAAAGGACTTAAAATACACTCTGTATTTAGAGGGGGCCAGTTCCACACAAAATTGGCCTTTGGGCTTTCTCTCATGCTGGTTTCTTCAATTGTCTCCACCTGTGACATTCCTTTATTCCTTTGTCCTGTACCCCAGGTCCCTAACCCTTATCCAAACTCTCACTTTAGTATCCTTACTATTTCCATTCTACACCCCAGTTCCCATGCATTTCACTCAAATTTCAAATTCAGGAAATAAACATTTTTATACAAACCAGACAGAGTTTAAGGAACTCTGGTGGCATAATCCATAGTATGTTGGGCTGTGCCTCTGGTGGTTTGAGTTCACCAGTAGCTCCTTGGGAGAAAGATAAGTAGTCTCCTCCTGCTAAGCTTTACAGCCTTGGAAATTCAATGGGGTTCACTATGAGCTGGAACTGATTTGATGGCAGAAGGTTGATCACAGATCATATAGTAACTGTTTCCCTAAGCGGTCTTAGTTGTGGATGGACCCACAGCCTGAACCCAGAAAACCCTCCTTCTCTTGCTTCTTCCTCCTAATGGAAGGTGGTCAGGAGAGCTCAGGTCTAAACCTGGGCAAGAAGATCAGTGTCCCAAGGGATGTTATGTTGGAGGAGCTGTCACTGCTCACAAACCGGGGTTCCAAGATGTTCAAATTGCGGCAGATGCGAGTGGAGAAATTTATCTACGAGAATCACCCTGATGTCTTCACTGACAGTTCAATGGTGAGTTTTAAACATTAATAGTTTTTCACAGCCTAGTGTCATTTCTACCAACTTCTCAGGATCTGAATCTCAAAAATTCCACCTACCTCCTTTCTTTGCAAATTCTAAAATCATTTAATCCCCAGATACACCAAATTGCCAGCAGCTCCAGGTGAGTTACAGCTCATCTCTGAAACTCAGTCTCTATTTGATGGAGTGGGTAGAGAGGTCACACCCCAGGAAAAAAAAATTTCTTCTCCATTTGGATGTCTTAGTGATGTAGTGCTACAATAACAAAAATACAACAATAGGAGAAATTCATTTTCTCACAGTCTAGGCAAGAAGTCCAAATTCACATTTTCAGTTCCAGGGCAAAGCTTTCTCTCTGCTGGCTTTGGAGGAGGAACCTCATCTCTTTCTAGCTTCTGTTCCTGGGTGGTCTTCATGGGGCTTGGCTTCTCTCTTACCCCTCCCCTGCTTTTTTGCAATTTTTAAAAATATCTTTTTTATATCAACAGATTGACTACACTAATCTTGCCTTATGACCGTAACAAGGGGAATCCATCCCAAAGAAGACTGTCATTTTAGCATGTTGTTGTTGTTGTGTACCAACAAGTTGGAACTGACCCATACCTGACCCTCCAGTGGATTTTCAGATGCAGTCTATCATCCTGGAGGAAATTGTCCTTCTTTCTCCCATAGAGCAACTGGTGGATTTGGACTGTGGTGTAACTCTTGACCACTAAGCCATCACAGCTCCCCAACTTTAGGCACAGAGGTTAAGAATTACAACACATTTTTTTGGTGCACAATTCAATCCGTAACGTTGGGTAAGTTGTAAAGGTAGAGCTGCCATATACAATATAGAATGCTTTGTTAAAATATTTGGATACACAACAGATAGCTTAAAAGTCTATTTGATGCACTGTTTAGGACATCAAAATAAAAATATAAGATGCACAACAACAGTTCAGTCCTTGGAAAAAGACATCCTGCTGAGAAAGATGATGGGTCACAGAAAGAGAAGAAGACTCTCAACAAAATAGATTGACATAGAGCCTGCAACTGTGGGCTTGAGAATATCAGAGATGAGGATGGTGCAGGAGAGAACAAGATGCAGATCTGTTGTCCACAGAGTCGCTGGGAGTTGACATCACCTAAAAAACAACAGTCAACTTGAGGGAACTATAGTATCCTAGTCAGTAGGTAGTTGTGCTGCCAGGCCAAAGGTGAATAGTTCAAATCCACTAGCTGTTTCTTGAGAGAAAAAGAGGCAGACTCTCCACAATACCCATCACTTCACCCTCCACCTCCTGCCCCTGTGATTTACAGATTCTGAAAATCTGCTAGAGGATCAGTTATGAATTGGTTCCAACTCAATGCAATGAGTTGAACTGAATTTGAGTTTCAGATGCACACAAGTAGTTTGTAAAGTTATTTTTAGACACATCCTTGTTAATTACGATTCATGTTGAACCTATGTGTACAGAGTAGAACTACCTGGAGGGTTTTTCAAGGTTGTGACCTTCAAAAGCAGACACTAGGCCAGTCTGAGGAATCTTCGGGTGGGTTTGAACTGTCAATCTTTTTGTTAGTAGATTAAAATTTAAATATATGTGCTACCCAGGGATTCATAGTATACTGTATTTTTTATACAAATAATTAACAAGTTATGCATTTGTGGTGGTTTTTGGTTTTCACAAACTGTACAATGCCCTCATACATTTCCTACACCATGTACCTTATATACAAGTGTGTATTATTTATGTGTTGTTGTTGTTGTGTACTCTAGTCAGAACTGACCTTGCAGTGGATTTTCAGAGGCAGTAAATGGCATGGGAATTATTTATACTAAAAATTTTTACATATTTGAAGTTGAGTATCCTGAGGTTTTTTTACTAACTAAATCTGACAGCCCTAGAAAAAGTAAGTTTTAATAGTCATCTCTTCCTTGAGCTATTCTCTTGAGTCAGTCTTTGATGGGGTATGTATTCCTCTTCTTTCAGGACCCCAGCTATAGGGACTAATGCTGTCCTGCATCTTCTACTCGGACTTTTTCTCCAATACCTCCAAAGGTGTTGGAAAGCAACCAGGCACACAATGTAAAGCGGAGAGATGGAGGGCCTCTTCTCCATTTTGTTTCTTCCTCTTCCACCTTCTCTGAGAGTTTGAGGGGAGTGGAACTAGATGCCTGTGTGGGGGCTGGGGCAGGAGTGTTTGTCATTGGCAGGGACACAGTACATAAGAACACAGTAAAAGTGCTGAGTTGGTCACATCTAACTTTAGGAGACCAGAAGTCCTCCTTCTTCTCTGGATCTAGTTACACTGGGTGGAGCATAGGGGTGTGTCTGGTGGGGTGGCCAGAAGAGGCTCCTGAAGGAGCTGGCAGGGTTATTTTTAGGCTTTGTAGCTGGATCCAGTGTTGCCCTTTTGGGCACCCTCTCTCCCTGCCAAGCTTCAATTTCTCTTTCAGGAAGTCCTGGTCCAACATGCACCCCCGAAAGTTCTCGGTGTTGTATACATTGAGAGGGAGGTCATAGAGCCCTCTCTTTAGTTCTTCAGATTAAGGGTGGGCTCTCCATTGCAAAGCCCATCCTCTCGAATTTTAACTGAACAGGCAGAAGTCTTGTCCTCTTTGCCTTGGTAAGGACGGGAAAAAGGCGTGTGGAAAATGAGCTACCTCTATCCTAGGATGTAAGTGGAGGAAAGAGCCAAGTTTAGCTTCTCTCAGGCAGGATGAGTCAGACAATGACCCATAAAAGGAATACCAAAGATTGAAGAACTGATGCTTTTGAATTGTTGTGTTGCCAAAGAATACTGACTGTACTATGGGTTGTCAAAATAATTCCTGTCTTTGAAGAAGTGTAGTCAGACTGCTCAATGGAGATAAATATGACAAGACTTTCGCTATAATTCAGAACAGATTTGATGGCTCCCAAGAACAACAAACACCAGGCAGGCCATCCACCTTCTATGCATAGGAAAAGGGGCTGTCCAAGGACTGAGTGTTTCTCAATTGGCCATCCTCTCTGATTTCCTCCCATTTGTACATATCTCTATCTGTATCACCCACATTCATCACTTTTCCCCCTAACTTTGTCTTTCTTTTCAGGATCACTTCCAGAAGTTCCTTCCTACTGTGGGAGGTCAGCTAGGCACAGATGGTCAGGGATTTTCCTACAGCAAAGGCAGTGGTGGAGGCCAGGCAAGAGGCAGCGGCTCTGCTGGGCAATATGGTTCTAACCAGCAGCACCATCAAGGCTCTGGGTCTGGGTCTGGATCTGGTGGCACAGGTGGCCCTGGGGGTCAGGCTGGCAGAGGAGGAGGAGATGGCACAGCAGGAGTCGGTGAATCAGAAACAGGCAAGTACTCTCACCTAATTGTATGTGTTTGGGTCCTAGAATAGGGATGTCCTCAAGAATGAATCCTAAACTGGGTGTAGGGAGCAGGGAGGTCAGCTGAAATAATTGGGTGCAGTCACTAGGTCCAGAAGTATACAGAGATGTGTCTGTTCCACCCAGAAGCCCTGTCTGCCAGCCATCTTTCTGGTACAGATCTGACCCCAAGCTATCACTATGCCACAAACTTTACAAAATTACTAGAATATTACACTAATGGAGGATATGGGATTAATGTCAACTAGCTATTAACTGCTTTATTAGTTATTTATTATTGGTTAACTTACCTTTCTCTCTCATGGCTTCCAGGAGACCAGGCAGGTGGGGAAGGAAAACATATCACTGTGTTCAAGACCTATATCTCCCCATGGGAGCGGGCCATGGGGGTTGATCCCCAGCAGAAAGTGGAACTTGGCATTAATCTGCTGGCATATGGGGCCAAAGCTGAACTCCCCAAATATAAGTCCTTCAACAGGTAGGGATGGTGCAGAAGGAACAAGATGTATTCTAGAGTGTGAGATAAAGACATTGGTACACATAGCTTTATGAAGATGAAGAATAATAGAAAGAGAATAGGGGCCTAAGTGAAGGCCTTTGCTCTCACTCTTTCTCAGAGAAAAAGTTACGTAAAGGAAAGTATATAAAGGGAGCTCTGGCGGTCTAGTGGCAAGAAGCTGCACTGCAATCCCAAAAGCATGTGGTTTGAGGTCACCAGCTGCTCCACGGAGAAGGATGAGCAATCTTTTTCTGTGTGATTAACTGCCTCTGAAAACCTACTGGAGGGTCAGCTGTGGATCAGTTCCAACTCTATGGTATACAACAACATGTAAAGGAAAACATTACTAGGAGGGAGGATCTGAATTCTGGTTCATAAGCCACTTATTAGTTATGCAGGCATGGGAAAGTCAACTTCTTTCTCAGTTTGGGTTGCTTGAACATAAAATAGGAATAATCTATTAACTGTTTGAAAGTCTTTTTAAAGGATTCCTCCCTTGAGGAACTCTAGTGGTCGAGTCTGTAAGGAGTTTTACTGCTAACCCAAAGGCAGGCAGCTTAAATGCACCAGCTGCTCCATAGGAGAAAGATGGGCAGTCTCTTCTTATAGCCTCAGAAAATCTGCGGGAGAGTTAGCTGTAAATTGCTTCCAACTTGAGGGCAATTGAGAGTTTTTTAGAGTTTTTCATTCAAATTCTAGGATCCCAAAACTCTCTTGTAGTATGATTCTGTTTCCTTACACTCCTTAGAATATATTTTTTAATATTCTAAATATCTAGTCTCTATCTTCACATCATAGAGATCTGGATGAAAGTTGGATAGTGCAAAAGAAGTGGGGTTTTTGTTTTTTTGGTTTTTTTTTTTTTTTGCATGAGATCCTCTCACGCAGACCATCCAGTATCCAATGGATGGAGAAGTAAGATGGAGAGTTTGCCAAGTTTCTACATTATAGTTTTAGGTGACTTCATACCTTTGGGTCTATAGTGTTTGAGGCCACTCTCTCTAAAATGCATGCAGCTCTGGGTCACAACTATTTATGAGACTTCCAGTCCAGTGCCCATGGAGTGCTTGTGGTGCAGTGGTTAAGTGCTTTTCTAACGAAAAGATTGGTGTTTCCAAAGCACATATAGCTCCATGGGAGAAAAGATGTGGCAGTCTGTTTCCATAAATGTTACAGCTTTGGTTTATATTTTGTTCCATAGCTTTGCTCTGAGTCAGAATAGGTTTGATGACAATGAAGAATCTAGTATCTTTCTCTTATTGTCTCTGAGGAAATAAACTCTCAAAACAGGCTAGCATATCACTGATAAAGCTTTCTTTTTATCCTAGTTTTAAATAAAATCATTTATCTCCTTCTCAGGACGGCAATGCCCTATGGTGGATATGAGAAGGCTTCCAAACGTATGACCTTCCAGATGCCCAAGCTAGACCTGGGACCCCTGCTAAGTGAACCCTTGGTCCTCTACAACCAGAACCTCTCCAACAGGCCTTCTTTCAATCGAACCCCAATTCCTTGGCTCAGTTCTGGGGAACCCGTAGACTACAATGTGGATATTGGGATCCCCTTGGATGGAGAAACAGAGGAGCTGTGAGGGTTTCCCTCCCTTCTACTTTGCATCAAGTGTCTTATCTCTGGTCCCATGTTAGAGAGGGGATGTTGAGCAGGATAAACCCATGTCAAATCAGTATTTCTGTGAGGACAGAGGAAAAAGAGAGCTATGCCTTTCTGTCCTTTGCTCCAAGCACCCTTCCATAACAACTCAGAACTCCCCTTCCACCTGCTCCATGTGGAACCTGCTCTTTTAAGGAATCTGCTCTGCCACCAGTAACAGTCAATAAACTTCAAGGAAATGAACTCATTCTTCCTCTCATATTTGAGGGCAGATAAAAGCTGAGGCAAACAATGCACTAATTAAAGCCAAATAACTAAGCATTCATTACTCAGACTTCAAAACTAGACTTGTGCTCTGGTTGCTCCCACACCCACATCCACACCTACAAAAACACATTTATAGATAAATACAAAACATATTTATTCAGAGAGCAAGAAACATGCTATAATCATGCACAAACTCATGTGCCAGTCCGTATGTGGGCAAAGCAAAGAAGTTACTGTCCACAGTGATTAGGAAAATACGGTGTTGGTGACTCTGATGCTTGTGCTCTGTAGGGAGTTAATTAGAAGCTGGGATGATCTGACTCAAATGTCACAGAACTACAGCATACCATAAAGTTTCCAAATGATACCAGGATGAGTTTTGGAAATATATATTTCAAAGGTTACAGATTTTTTAAATGATGATATAGACTAGGAAGCTATGTAGAATCTGGAAGGGAATGGGAATAACTTTTAGTTATTCTAAAAGACCATGGGGACCACAACAATATCCTAAAAACACTGTGACTGGCAAGAAACCATGAGAGTTCAATAGGCATGTGCCAATACCACTCTTTTTATTGATTTCAACCAGAGGTCTCTTTAAAGTTCCTGATTTATTCCTGTGTCCCACAAAGTAAGAGTGATTTACACCAGGAAGGATAACGATCTGACTCAACAGGGTCTGAAAAGATAATTTCAAGAGAGCTTGCTGATTTTCAGTCAGTGTAACTCTATGAGATGTTAATATTTATATTAAGTTGTTACACTTTGCATTTGACTTAGCTAAATTTAATAAACCCTTGGTCACTTTCCTTTATAAGAATTAATTTCAGAATGAACTTCCCATGTAGTTACTAGAGAATTGTGCTGCTAGTCCAAAGGCTGCACCTCTCTGGCAGTTCAAATCCACCAGCAGCCCATCACGGAATGCAGGAGAAGAAGATGAGCAATCACCTCCGGCAGGATTTACAGTAGAGAGTCTGCTATGAGTCAGTTCTGACTGGACAGAAAGTTGAGTTGAGTCCTTAAGATTGAATATAAAATTCTATTCCTATGTCCACCCTGAAAGATGCCATAATTTGGGTTTCCCCAAACATATCATCAACAAAGACGGGGGTGCAGGTAGTTTATTTTGGAGGTAATCCCAGAAATTCAAGTAGGATAAGGCAGTGGGAACAGAAGCCAATAAAGGATGCTCTGGATAACTGAAACTAAATCCCACCAGGAAGTCTCTGAGAACAGTGCTATGTAAACTGTGGTCCATGGATTGGCACTATCAATATGTCCTGAGAACTTAGTTAAAATATAAACTTTTGGGTCAGGGAACCTGTGCTTCATTAAACTTGCAATGTGATTTGTACATGCTAGCAAATTTGAGGAACATTATAGTAGAAAATATCTCAGAAGTGCCTTGCTAAGGAATTAGACTGTTTGTCAGCAAAATCCGATTTCTTAGTGGTTCTTCCCCTTGGAAGTTAACACCGGCACTTTGAGAGGGTGGTAAGCATGCTCCTTGGCATACTCAGGTGTTTTAAGGCAGGAAGCTATGGCCCGTCCAGGACCCATTTACCAGTGAACTCTAGGGTGAGCTGAGGGGAAATGGGAACAGATAGAATTTATATAAGACTTCATAGCTTCCATCATATTCTGATAGTCTTTCAGCCTCTCAAGAAGGTTTAAAACTATATAACTTTAACACTTGGTATAGGAAGGGCGTACGCCAGGGATGCATCCTATCTCCATACCTTTTCAACCTGTATGCAGAACAGATTATCCGGGAGGCTGGGCTCTATGAGGAGAAATGTGGGGTCAAGATTGGTGAAAGATCTATCAACAATCATGCAGATGACACAACCCTGCTTGCTGAAACTGAGGAGGACCTGAAGCACCTGGTGCAGAGGGTCAAGGACTGTAGCCTCCAATATGGCTTGAGGCTCAATGTCAAGAAGACAAAGATTCTCACCACTGGGTCAATTGGAAGCAATTGGAAGCATCAGGATGGATGGTGAAGAGATTGAGAATGTTCACAGCTTTAGTTTGCTTGGCTCCACAGTCAACACTCTTGGCACCAGTAGCCAGGAAATTAAAAGGCGCATTGCCATGGGAAAGTCTGCTGTTAGGGGCCTCTCCAAAGTACTGAAGAGCAATGATGTCCCTCTGGAGACTAACGTGCGTCTGATACAGGCCATGGTCTTTGCAATCACTTGTTATGCATCAGAGAGTTGGACAATGACCAAGAAGGACAGAAGGAGAATTGATGCCTTTGAGCTGTGGTGCTGGAGAAGAGTATTGAGAATAATATGGACTGCTAGGAAAACAAACAGATTCATCCTGGAAAGGGTTAAACTGGGTAGCTCCTTGGAGACAAGGATTCTGAGATACTTTGGACATGTTGTAAGAAGAGACCGGTCCTTGGAGAAGGACATCATGCTGGGGAGGGTGGAGGGACAGCGCAGGAAGGGAAGGCCCTCTATGAGGTAGATTGATTCAGTGACTGGGGTTATGGGGATGGGAGTGTCAGAGACAGTGCGATTGGCACAAGACAGAGCAGAGTTTAGGGCTGTTGTGCATAGGGTCAATATGAGTCACAAGCGACTCGATGGCACATAACAACAACATAACAATTGTGAATAAGTGATAAATCAGTTTATACCTCTAAAAATTTCTACTTCTGAAAATCAGGCAGTGAAAACTCTATGGACCACAACAGTTTGATCTACATTTGATCGTAGAGATCATGGTGAAAAACTAGGCACCATTTCATTCCATTGTGCATGGGATCATCACGAGCCACAGGCCAAATCAACTAACTGTTGAGCAACTAATGACAATACTAACTGTATAGCAGGTACAGTGTCAGATATCTGAGGTATAAAGACAAATAACTTTCATGTGACAAAGAGCTCTCACAGCCAAACATAACCATTAAAATACCTACCTGATAGTTGAGGGTAGTGGTGTTTCAATAGTAGAATTCTTACTTTCCATGCAGGGAATCCAGGTTCAACTCCTCGCCACTACACCTATAGAACAGCCACCACTCACCTGTCCGTGACTTACATGTGGCTATGATGCTGAACAGGTTTTCAGTAGAGTTTCCAGACTAAGATGGATGAGGAAGAAAGAGCTGGCAATCTACTTACAAGAAAAACATCAGCCAGGGAAAATGCATAGATCACAATGGTCTGATCCTGATACTGAGTCTGGTGCTAATGCAAGCTCTTTAGTTACAGTGAGCACAGGATAGTTTTGAAATTATCCTTTGAGTAGGAAAGTCTACTGAGAAGTTAAATAATTATAATAAGTTTATTTGGTAAGTCAATAATAAGAAAGAAAATAGATTAACCTCTGTGAAAAGTACCACCAAACAATGATTTAGTGTGTATCTACAAGAGCCACCCAGTAGTCCAGTTGAATTATCAATTCTATTCATCCTGGATAGTATCTTTCCATTAAAACTTTATTTTAAAAATGTTTAACACATTTGAGTATTAGTTTACAGAAGTGGCACAATGGAAGCAATATCTATATTGCTCACAGACATCTTCTATTTAGTTGTCATTGTGCTTCACAATTCAGGAGAGGCAGCCCTTTTAGATGGGGGTTTGTAACCTCCACTGGGTCCTAGCCCCCACTATTACCCACTGTTTTACAGCAGAACATCTTCTTCTAGTTACCTTTAGGCAACATCTGGATAGATGGAGAAAAGATCAAAGTTGTCAACTATTTTATCTTGCGTGGGTCCACAGTCAACACCCTTGGTATCAGTAGTCAAAATCAAAAGATGTGTTGTATTGGGAAAATCAGAAATCAAGAAACTTTTCCAATGTGTTAAGAACAATGAAATCAGTATAAAGACTTAAGGTGAATACGATTCAAGGCATGGTCTTTTCAACTGCTTGTTATCCATCTGAAAGCTGTACAATGACTAAAGATGACAGAAGAAGAATCAATGCCTTGAAGTTGTGATGTTGGAGATGAGTACTGAATATTCATGCCAAAAGAACAAATAAATACATCTTCGGGAATGTGCCAAGAAGCTATTTTGTGACAAGAGCAAGGGAACACTACATAGTTTAAAATTAAGAAAGGCCTAGGTTGTGTCCTTTCCATACATATTCAATCTGTATGCTGAGCAAATTATTTGAGAAGCTGGACTCTATGAAGAATATGGCATCAGGATTGAAGGGAGACTCGTCAATAACCTTTGTTATGCAGATTGTCACAACTTTGCCTGCTGAAAATGAGGAGGACAACACTGCAATACTTGTTGCAGAAGATCAAACAGCAACCTTCAATATGGGTTGCATCTCAATGTCAAGAAAACAAAAATTCTCACCACTGGCCCAATAGACAACATCATAATAGATGGATAAAAGATTAAAACTGTCAATGACTTCATCTTACTTGGATCTACAATCAGTACAATTGGTACCAGTAATCAGAAGGTCAGGAGATGTATTGCACTGGGAAAGTCTTTAGCCAGAGACCTCTCCAGATTACTAAAGAGCAATGATGTCAGTTTGAGGACTAAGATGTGCCTGATTCAGACCATGGTCTTTTCAATCACTTGCTATGAATCTGAGATCTGGATAATGAATAAGGATGACAGAAGAATTGATGCCTTTGAACTGTGGTGTTGGAGAAGAGTACTGAATATCCCATGGACTGCCAAAAGAACAAAGATATATGTTTTGGAGATGGTGAATCCAG